AATGGGAGGCCGTACAGGGACCCATGAGACACTGTGGACCTGGCAGCAGCATGAGGAGGCGGTACAGGGGCCCATGGCAGATTAGGGGCCTGGCAGCAGCTATGGGAGGCCCGTAATCTGCCAGCACCCTATGACAAAAAATGGAACACACCAGCAGTGTGAGGAGACCTGAAAGTGGCACATGGCAGAGTGTGGCGATGGAGACAAGCAATGGGAGGCCGTACAGGGACCCATGAGACACTGTGGACCTGGCAGCAGCATGAGGAGGCGGTACAGGGGCCCATGGCAGATTAGGGGCCTGGCAGCAGCTATGGGAGGCCCGTAATCTGCCAGCACCCTATGACAAAAAATGGAACACACCAGCAGTGTGAGGAGACCTGAAAGTGGCACATGGCAGAGTGTGGCGATGGAGACAGCAGCAATGGGAGGCCGTACAGGGACCCATGAGAGACTCTGGGACCTGGCAGCAGCATGAGGAGGCGGTACAGGGGCCCATGGCAGATTAGGGGCCTGGCAGCAGCAATGGGAGGCCCGTAATCTGCCAGCACCCTATGACAAAAAAGGAACACACCAGCAGTGTGAGGAGACCTGAAAGTGGCACATGGCATGAGACACTGTGGACCTGGCAGCAGCATGAGGAGGCGGTACAGGGACCCATGGCAGATTAGGGGCCTGGCAGCAGCAATGGGAGGCCCGTAATCTGCCAGCACCCTATGACAAAAAATGGAACACACCAGCAGTGTGAGGAGACCTGAAAGTGCACAGCAGCACATGGCAGATGGGAGGCCGTACAGGGACCTGGCAGCAGCATGAGGAGGCGGTACAGGGGCCCATGGCAGATTAGGGGCCTGGCAGCAGCTATGGGAGGCCCGTAATCTGCCAGCACCCTATGACAAAAAATGGAACACACCAGCAGTGTGAGGAGACCTGAAAGTGGCACATGGCATGAGACACTGTGGACCTGGCAGCAGCATGAGGAGGCGGTACAGGGGCCCATGGCAGATTAGGGGCCTGGCAGCAGCAATGGGAGGCCCGTAATCTGCCAGCACCCTATGACAAAAAATGGAACACACCAGCAGTGTGTGAGGAGACCTGAAAGTGGCACATGGCAGAGTGTGGCGATGGAGACAGCAGCAATGGGAGGCCGTACAGGGACCCATGAGAGACTCTGGACCTGGCAGCAGCATGAGGAGGCGGTACAGGGGCCCATGGCAGATTAGGGGCCTGGCAGCAGCAATGGGAGGCCCGTAATCTGCCAGCACCCTATGACAAAAAATGGAACACACCAGCAGTGTGTGAGGAGACCTGAAAGTGGCACATGGCATGAGAGTGTGGCGATGGGACAGCAGCATGCAGGATGGGAGGCCGTACAGGGACCCATGGCAGACACTGTGGACCTGGCAGCAGCATGAGGAGGCGGTACAGGGGCCCATGGCAGATTAGGGGCCTGGCAGCAGCAATGGGAGGCCCGTAATCTGCCAGCACCCTATGACAAAAAAAATGGAACACACCAGCAGTGTGAGGAGACCTGAAAGTGGCACATGGCATGAGACACTGTGGACCTGGCAGCAGCATGAGGAGGCGGTACAGGGGCCCATGGCAGATTAGGGGCCTGGCAGCAGCTATGGGAGGCCCGTAATCTGCCAGCACCCTATGACAAAAAATGGAACACACCAGCATGTGAGGAGAACCTGAAAGTGGCACATGGCAGAGCATGAGACAAGCAATGGGAGGCCCTGGCACCAGCATGTGGTGGCGGTAGGAGGCGGTACAGGGGCCCATGGCAGATTAGTGGCCTGGCAGCAGCTATGGGAGGCCCGTAATCTGCCAGCACCCTATGACAGAAACGGGCCTGGCAGCAGCATGGGAGGAGACGTAAAAGGGCCGTACAAGGGCACCCATGACTCTGTGGACCTGGCAGCAGCATGAGGAGGCGGTACAGGGGCCCATGGCAGATTAGGGGCCTGGCAGCAGCTATGGGAGGCCCGTAATCTGCCAGCACCCTATGACAAAAAATGGAACACACCAGCAGTGTGAGGAGACCTGAAAGTGGCACATGGCAGATGTGGCGATGAGACACAGCAATGGGAGGCCGTGGACCCATGAGAGACTCTGGAGCAGCATGAGGAGAGGCGGTACAGGGGCCCATGGCAGATTAGGGGCCTGGCAGCAGCTATGGGAGGCCCGAAATCTGCCAGCACCCTATGACAAAAAATGGAACACACCAGCAGTGTGAGGAGACCTGAAAGTGGCACATGGCAGAGTGTGGCGATGGAGACAGCAGCAATGGGAGGCCGTACAGGGACCCATGAGAGACTCTGTGGACCTGGCAGCAGCATGAGGAGGCGGTACAGGGGCCCATGGCAGATTAGGGGCCTGGCAGCAGCTATGGGAGGCCCGTAATCTGCCAGCACCCTATGACAAAAAATGGAACACACCAGCAGTGTGAGGAGACCTGAAAGTGGCACATGGCAGAGTGTGGCGATGGAGACAGCAGCAAATGGAGGCCGTACAGGGACCCATGAGACACTCTGGACCTGGCAGCAGCATGAGGAGGCGGTACAGGGGCCCATGGCAGATTAGGGGCCTGGCAGCAGCTATGGGAGGCCCGTAATCTGCCAGCACCCTATGACAAAAAATGGAACACACCAGCAGTGTGAGGAGACCTGAAAGTGGCACATGCATGAGACACTGTGGACCTGGCAGCAGCAGCAGCAGCATGAGGAGCGGTACAGGGGCCCATGGCAGATTAGGGGCCTGGCAGCAGCAATGGGAGGCCCGTAATCTGCCAGCACCCTATGACAAAAAATGGAACACACCAGCAGTGTGAGGAGACCTGAAAGTGGCACATGGCAGAGTGTGGCGATGGAGACAGCAGCAATGGGAGGCCGTACAGGGACCCATGAGAGACTCTGGACCTGGCAGCAGCATGAGAGGCGGTACAGGGGCCCATGGCAGATTAGGGGCCTGGCAGCAGCTATGGGAGGCCCGTAATCTGCCAGCACCCTATGACAAAAAATGGAACACACCAGCAGTGTGAGGAGACCTGAAAGTGGCACATGGCATGAGACACTGTACAGGGACCTGGCAGCAGCAGCATGAGGAGGCGGTACAGGGGCCCATGGCAGATTAGGGGCCTGGCAGCAGCAATGGGAGGCCCGTAATCTGCCAGCACCCTATGACAAAAAAATGGAACACACCAGCATGTGTGAGGAGACCTGAAAGTGGCACATGGCAGAGTGTGGCGATGGAGACAGCAGCAATGGGAGGCCGTACAGGGACCCATGAGAGACACTCTGGACCTGGCAGCAGCATGAGGAGGCGGTACAGGGGCCCATGGCAGATTAGGGGCCTGGCAGCAGCTATGGGAGGCCCGTAATCTGCCAGCACCCTATGACAAAAAATGGAACACCACCAGCAGTGTGAGGAGACCTGAAAGTGGCACATGGCATGAGACACTGTGGACCTGGCAGCAGCATGATGAGGAGGCGGTACAGGGGCCCATGGCAGATTAGGGGCCTGGCAGCAGCAATGGGAGGCCCGTAATCTGCCAGCACCCTATGACAAAAAATGGAACACACCAGCAGTGTGAGGAGACCTGAAAGTGGCACATGGCAGTGTGAGACACTGTGGACCTGGCAGCAGCAATGGGAGGAGGCGGTACAGGGGCCCATGGCAGATTAGGGGGGAAGACCTGGCAGCAGCTATGGGAGGCCGTAATCTGCCAGCACCCTATGTGGTGGCGATGGAACACAGCAGCAGTGTGAGGAGACCTGAAAGTGGCACATGGCATGAGACACTGTGGACCTGGCAGCAGCATGCAAGGAGGCGGTACAGGGGCCCATGGCAGATTAGGGGCCTGGCAGCAGCAATGGGAGGCCCGTAATCTGCCAGCACCCTATGACAAAAAATGGAACACACCAGCAGTGTGAGGAGACCTGAAAGTGGCACATGGCAGAGTGTGGCGATGGAGACAGCAGCAATGGGAGGCCGTACAGGGACCCATGATGAGAGACTCTGGACCTGGCAGCAGCATGAGGAGGCGGTACAGGGGCCCATGGCAGATTAGGGGCCTGGCAGCAGCAATGGGAGGCCCGTAATCTGCCAGCACCCTATGACAAAAAATGGAACACACCAGCAGTGTGAGGAGAGACCTGAAAGTGGCACATGGCATGAGCACTGTGGACCCTGGCAGCAGCATGAGGAGGCGGTACGGCCCATGGCAGATTAGGGCCTGGCAGCAGCAGATGGGAGGCGGTAATCTGCCAGGCTATGACAAATGGGGCCCAATCTGCCAGAGACCTGAAATGCACAAAAAATGGACACACCAGCAGTGTGGAGACCTGAAAGGCACATGCAGAGACTCTGGACCTGGCAGCAGCATGAGGAGGCGGTACAGGGGCCCATGGCAGATTAGGGGCCTGGCAGCAGCTATGGGAGGCCCGTAATCTGCCAGCACCCTATGACAAAAAATGGAACACACACCAGCAGTGTGAGGAGACCTGAAAGTGGCACATGGCATGAGACACTGTGGACCTGGCAGCAGCATGAGGAGCGGTACAGGGGCCCATGGCAGATTAGGGGCCTGGCAGCAGCTATGGGAGGCCCGTAATCTGCCAGCACCCTATGACAAAAAATGGAACACACCAGCAGTGTGAGGAGACCTGAAAGTGGCACATGGCAGAGTGTGGCGATGGAGGACAGCAGCAATGAGGCCGTACAGGGACCCATGAGACACTGTGGACCTGGCAGCAGCATGAGGAGGCGGTACAGGGGCCCATGGCAGATTAGGGGCCTGGCAGCAGCTATGGGAGGCCCGTAATCTGCCAGCACCCTATGACAAAAAATGGAACACACCAGCAGTGTGAGGAGACCTGAAAGTGGCACATGGCATGAGACACTGTGGACCTGGCAGCAGCATGAGGAGGCGGTACAGGGGCCCATGGCAGATTAGGGGCCTGGCAGCAGCTATGGAGGCCCGTAATCTGCCAGCACCCTATGACAAAAAATGGAACACACCAGCAGTGTGAGGAGACCTGAAAGTGGCACATGGCATGAGACACTGTGGACCTGGCAGCAGCATGAGGAGGCGGTACAGGGGCCCATGGCAGATTAGGGGCCTGGCAGCAGCTATGGGAGGCCCGTAATCTGCCAGCACCCTATGACAAAAAATGGAAACACACCAGCAGTGTGTGAGGAGACCTGAAAGTGGCACATGGCAGAGTGTGGCGATGGAGACAGCAGCAATGGGAGGCCGTACAGGGACCCATGAGACACTGTGGACCTGGCAGCAGCATGAGGAGGCGGTACAGGGGCCCATGGCAGATTAGGGGCCTGGCAAGCAGCTATGGGAGGCCCGTAATCTGCCAGCACCCTATGACAAAAAATGGAACACACCAGCAGTGTGAGGAGACCTGAAAGTGGCACATGTTTGGGGCAGTTGATTCATGGCGGATTTAGTCATTAGAGTGTTTCATGAACTGGTGGTTTGAATCCAGACTAATCCACCGCCTGATTCATTTTCACAAACGTGAGTCTCTCCACACTTTGGGGTAGGACGACAGTCGTGTCCTCCGCGGAGTTTACAAATACCTCCTTCCGCACTAAACACGCGCTCCGATGCCACGCTACTGCCGGGCATGACAGCCTTATCAAGGGGCAAATTCAGCTAGTTGGGGCCAAAGGTCAAGTTTCGTTGCCCAGTTAGTCAAGGGGATTGTCTACCTCGGTTGGCAGGGTGCTGTCCAAGTAGGCCCAAGCCTGTTGTTTGAGGTCCTGCTCCAGGTCTACCTGATCTGCTGTCTGCTGCTGCGGCTGGTTAGTAGTTTCTCACTGCGCTGTAGGTGAAGAAAGGCTACTCATCATCGACTGCAGACTGAGGCAGCCGCTGCTGGTGGAGCTGCCACTGCTCCTACCACCCCACCCCTCCCCTGCTGCCATGGCAGCGGAACGCCGAGCGCACAGGGGCCCACAGTGTCTGAGGATGGACATTGGCGGCACAAAGGCAGAGACCAACTGACTACATAGGTGGTTTTTATAGTAACGTTATTTGGCCCTCCCTCTCAGCAGGTGTGAAAAAGGCCACCATTTTTGAACGGTAGCGAGGGTCCAACAAGGTGGACAGCCAAAAAGTCATCCCTCTGTCTGATGGTTATCCCTTATTCGGGCTGTGTCGCTACGCAAGCAACCGAGCAATATGTGCCAATGGATGCCATTTCCGATGCTCCAAGGAATGCGAAGGGACTCCCTGCAATCCTCCATCTACCCACAGCACCTACCCTGTGGCGGGGCTGGCGGGTAGTGAGGTGTGAAAAAACCACCATTTCACTCAATAATTCCTGAGCACAAATGTCCTCCTCTACCTCCTCCTCTTCTTCCTGTCCTGCCCCCACAGGGGTCATGTGGCATTGAGATCTGTTGCGCCACGTCTACCTCACACCTGACCAGCCCATTTTGTTAACAGCATTTGTTCCAGGACGTGCAACAGAGGGAATGACGTCGTTCATCCCATAGTTCCCTGCCGACTCACGGAATAGCGTGGCCTCCTCAAAGGGCCTGAGCAAGCGGCAGGTGTCACGCATGAGCTGCCAATGGCTGACATCGAAGTTTACACAGGGGAGTACCTTTATCCGCTTGTAACATCAGGAAATCGGTGATGGCCTTTCGCTGTTCGTAAAGGCGGTCTAACATGTGTAGGGTTGAATTCCACCTTGTTTGCAACGTCGCAGATCAGGCGTTGCTGTGGAATTCCGTTCTGCCGCTGCAGCTCAAGGAGGGTGTGCTTTGCGGTGTAGTAGGAATGGCTGAAATGCATGCAAAGTTTACGTGACATTTTAACGGATGTCTTGCAGTGGGGATGGTGGATTTTTAGGAACCGCTTGACAACCAGATTGAACACGTGAGCCATGCATGGCGCATGGCACAACCTTCCTTGACGCATAGAGCAGACACCATGTTCTTTCCCCGTTGTCGTCAACATGGTTCCGATTTTCAGTTTGCGCGGAGACAGCCATCTGTCGATTTCTGCTGTTCATTACACTGAGAAGTTTTCCTCCCCTGTTGTGACTACCGTTCGCCAAGGCATACCAGGCAGCACACAGCGTGGACACCGTTGCGGCCCTGCACATGTGATATGCGTATGGTAATGGGACGTTGGCACGGGGGTGGCGGCTGAGGACAACAAAGGAAGAAGAGGTGGTAGAGGCCGGACATCTTTTGTGGACCAAGGACGTGCAAACGTGGAGGCAAAAGCGGCGTCTTGACGTGACCTGTCCAGTTGTTGCTGGTGCGGCTGTGACGGAACCCCACGTTCACCCAGTGGCCGTAAATGACATGTACTGTCCCTGACCGTATAAGGTACAGCTCCACACGTCGGCGCTGGCCGTGCACTTTGGCAGAGACCGACATGCTCAAAAGACTGGCCCACATCTCTTCTACATGTGAATGCAGGGCCTGGCACTGCCTTTTTGGCGAAGAAATGACGGCTTGGCACTCTCCACCACGGCGCTGCACAAGCCATCCATTTCTCGGAAAGAGGTGCTGAGTCCACCACTTGGAAAGGGAGGGGACTGCAGCACCAGCAACTTGGACAGGAGGAAGACGTTCAGCTTTTGCACCGTCGGGTGCGTGCTCGCAAAACTGTTGTCTCTTGGAAACGGAAATTCCAAGAAAGAACTTGCTGACGGAATCCGTGACGAGGAGTAGCAGGAGAAGGAGCATCTGAACGAACGGAAGATGCCAACGAGCGACAACTCCCTCAGCAGAGGTGTTGGAGCCTTGACATGGCTGATAGAGGACGATTGACGTCGGGGTGACGGAGCAAGTAACGGAGCGGGTGATGGAGCGGGGGCTGGGGCAGGCAGAACCGCCGTATCTTTATCACGGTTTTCCCAGGCCACCAAATGGCGACGCTGCATATGCTGCCGCAACGCTGTATTCCCAACATTGGCCCCCTGGCCACGCTTGACTTTCTGGCCACATAGTCGACATACGGCTACGTTTTACTTCCTCGGGCGGCTTGACGAAAAATTGCCACACCGCCGCCGTGTAGGAAACTTTGCCCCCGATACTCCTCACTGGCTGACTGCTACTTCCTCCGTGCACACCGGCACCACTACTGGCCGTGGTGGTAGGCTGCAGTGGAGCTGGTGCTCTACTCTGTGGCCGTTTGCCTCCACTGACACTGCTGCGACCCTGCTGCCTTCCTGGGCAACCCACCGACTGTTTTGCTCGCTGCCAAGCTGCCACCCTCTTCTCCTGATGATGCGGAAGCAATAGCCTGATGACGACGAGGCTGCCAAGTGCGATCAGCCTCATCATCATCAATTAGGGTCTCCGCCTCACTACTAGCCCCCCTCGGCTGCGTGTGGGTCAGGAGACAGACCTGTCTCTACACCGGCTACCGAGCCACTCTCCTCGCCACTACTTCTTCGCCTGGCTGCTGGAGAGGTGGATGTCTCCCCCCGTTCCTGACCGCCCTCTGTTAAGCTCTTCCTCACTGTACAGTGGGGCTGAGCCCACAGCATGCGATACTTCGCTTGGTGAGGGAACACCAAAGGACAGGGGCAGGTCGAGGACACGTGATTTCAGTGGGCTTGCTCCCGGGCCATGCCAACTAACGGTTGTGTCTGACGTACCCACCGACGTTTGGCTGTAGGTGTCAGAGGTGACCTGGGAAGAGGAAGACGAACCGAGCCAACCAATCGATTGACGGCAGGGTTGTCGGTGGAGACACACGACCGCTGGATGACACCGTGGGAGCAAATGGCCTCTGGCTGCGACTAGTGCTGCCTCGACCCCTTCCTCTGCTGCCACGTCTGCTCGCTCCTAAAACATTGCCTCCTCTGCCACTCCTCTGCATGTTGATATCTGACATACTCTTTAATTAAACGATTCTGTGTCCCTGAGTAACAATTCTGTGTCCCTGAGTAACAATTCTGTGTCTGGTCCCTCAGTAACAATTCTGTGTCCCTCAGTAACAATTCTGTGTCCCTCAGTAACAAATTCTGTGTCTGTCCCCTGAGTAACAATTCTCTGTCTGTCCCTGAGTAACAATTCTGTGTCCCTCAGTAAACAATTCTGTGTCCCTCAGTAACAAAGTATTCTGTGTCCCTAAGTAACGTTTCTGTGGCCTGAGTAACGGTTCTGTGTCCCTGAGTAACAATTCTGTGTCTGTCCCTGAGTAACAATTCTGTGTCTGTCCCTGAGTAACAATTCTGTGTCTGTCCCTCAGTAACAATTCTGTGTCCCTTCAGTAACAATTCTGTGTCCCTCAGTAACAATTCTGTGTCCCTCAGTAACAATTCTGTGTCTGTCCCTGAGTAACAATTCTGTGTCCCTAAGTAAACGTTTCTGTGGCCCTAAGTAACGGTTCTGTGTCCCTCAGTAACAATTCTGTGTCTGTCCCTGAGTAACAATTCTGTGTCCCTAAGTAACGTTTCTGTGGCCCTAAGTAACGGTTCTGTGTCCCTCAGTAACAATTCAGTGTCCCTCAGTAACAATTCTGTGTCTGTCCCTGAGTAACAATTCTGTGTCCCTAAGTAACGTTTCTGTGGCCCTAAGTAACGGTTCTGTGGCCCTAAGTAACGTTTCTGTAGCCCTAAGTAACGTTTCTGTGGCCCTAAGTAACGTTTCTGTGGCCCTAAGTAACGGTTCTGTGTCCCTCAGTAACAATTCTGTGTCCCTCAGTAACAATTCTGTGTCTGTCCCTGAGTAACAATTCTGTGTCCTAAGTAACTGTTTCTGTGGCCCTAAGTAACGGTTCTGTGGCCCTAAGTAACGGTTCTGTGGCCCTAAGTAATGGTTCTGTGGCCCTCAGTAACAATTCTGTGTACCTCAGTAACAATTCTGTGTCCCTCAGTAACAATTCTGTGTCTGTCCCTAAGTAACAATTCTGTGGCCCTAAGTAACGTTTCTGTGGCCCTAAGTAACGTTTCTGTGGCCCTAAGGGGAAACGATTCTGTGGCCCTAAGTAACGATTCTGTGGCCCTAAGTAACGTTTCTGTGGCCCTAAGTAACGTTTCTGTGGCCCTAAGTAACGATTCTGTGGCCCTAAGTAACGATTCTGTGGGCTAAGTAAACGTTTCTGTGGCCCTTAGTAAACGAATCTGTGGCCCTAAGTAACGATTCTGTGTCCCTAAGTAACGTTTCATGTGGCCCTAAGTAACGTTTCTGTGTCCCTAAGTAACGTTTTCTCTGGCCCTAAGTAAAAGTTTCTCTGGCCCTAAGTAACGTTTCTGTGTCCCTAACTCTCTTCCTCTCAATACAGCCAGGTCTGCCTCTGTTGAATGACTGGAGTGCAAATGGAGAATTCTAAAATGGCCGCCATTTATAGCTCGACCATTACACAAGTGCTGGCTGGCTGGCTGCTGATTGGCTAATGCGATCACATGTCATGAATGAATGCATTATGGGTCAGCGCGCCTTGTCTGCGCGCCTTCCCAGACATCCCCGCTCCGTCGCCGCACATGTCGCCACCATTTTAGGAAAAATTTTGATTCGCGCATCCGAAGTATGCTAATTTTCGGATTCGTCGCGAATCGAAATTTTCCTAATATTCGAAACGAATTCCACTTCGCCTAGTTCGATTCGCTCATCTCTAGTCATCAATACATCAGGATTGATTGAATGTCAGATCTATGCCACTCTAAACTTTTCCTTAAAACTAAATAATAAACACTGATTTGGGTTATTTTCACCAAAGAAATGTAGTATAATACTTTTTTGGCCTAATTTTTTGAAAAAAAGATTTATTTGCAAAATTTTATAACAAAAGAAAGAAAAAAACGCATTTTTTTCAAAATTTTGTGGTCTTTTTATATTCATAGCGCAAAAAAATAAAAACCTCAGTGGTGATTAAATACCACCAAAAGAAATTTCTATTTCTGTGAAATAAATTATAACAATTTCATAACGGTACAGTGCTGCATGACTGTGCAATTGTCAAAGTGCGACAGCACTGAAAGGTGAAAATTGGCCTGGACAGGTAAAAGTGCCGGGTATTGAGGTGGTTAAAGTAGAACTAAAGGCAAAACTTTTTTTCCCATTAGGATAGAGCAAGAAAGGGTTTTAACCCATTTTTTTTTTTTGCAAGTGTGTCCCATTGCAGAGATTTCCCTTCACTTTCTGTCCCATTACCAAACTGGAAATGAGAGGAAATCTCTACATATTAAGGGAATTCATTGGGACACCCAGGTCACCAGAACTAGTAACCCCATTGGAAGAGTTCCCTCTATTACATTTCTGGGGAAAATCTAAATTCTGGGATTTTCTTTTACTTTCAATGATAACAGTAAACAGGACAAATAGAGAGGGTGAATCTCCCTAACAGAGGCACAGACAGCAATAAAAACCTGTCAGGCAAAGAATCTGAAAACTAAAAAAAAAAAATGTTTGCCATTAGTTATACTTTAAGGATATACAGGTAACACTTGTTTCTACATGTAGTTTGTACTTAAATATGGCCATGGGGACCACCATGTTTGTTACAAAATCAAGTTGATAAAAGACACAAGCCCATCTAGTTCAACCAACAGAAAAAATAATTCAATAGAATAAATACATAGAAAACCTCAATATACACCCCTATACCCACAGTTGATCCAGAGGAAGGCAAAAAAACCTATAAAAGCATAGTCCAATTTGCTACAGTAGAGGAAAAACAAATCTATATCTCCATATAAATATCTAGGAACTGGTCTGAGCAGATTCGGTAGATTGTCTTAGCCTGGGATCTACACTGATGTCCAAAGAGATAGGAACCATTTTAACCGGCCAGATCCTGGATTGTATCCTCTGACATGTTTCTTTTGAACCCCCTCTGTATTTGGGACAGACATAGGTGTGGGAACATCAATGCAGGCTTTTGAAACCATTTGTTTACACTAACATTGCTTTTTGAAGAGCAATCCAATCTTCAGAGAGCATTTGACAGGAGATGAAGAGGAGCGCTATTGCTTTCCCACCTTCTGCTTTAAACTCTTGCACCCTGTGGTAGTGCTTTGAAAGCATGTGGTTGTGAGGTGGCTGGAGGGCACCCCTATATAGTTGAATGGATTGTGTTCTGTGGACAGAACAGCTCTGTGTATACAAAGGAGCATGGGGGAGCTCTTGTCCATAATGGGCATGGTATTGACACAGCTCCAGATGATCCACATTGGCTCACACCTGATATGATCCAGAAATATTTAGCCAGAATAAAAGGGGAATAAAGCACCTGGACCGGATGGCATACACCCACGGGTCCTTAAAGAATTGAGCTCTGTTATTTCAAAGCCATTGTTTCATTTTTAGCGACTCTTTAATGACTGGCATAGTACCATTGGATTGGTGTAAGGCCAATGTGGTGCCAATATTTAAAAATGGGTCAAAATCTTTACCAAGTAATTATAGACCTGTTAGTTTAACTTCTATAATTGGGAAGATACTGGAGAGTTTAATAAAAGACCACATAGATGAGTTCTTGCTGGAAAAAAATATTTTAAGCAACAGACAGCATGGATTCATGAAAGACAGAAACTGTCAAACAAATCTGATTTCTTTTTATGAGGAGGTGAGGAAAACCTTGGACAGAGGGGTGGCTGTGACTATGTAACTATGACAGTACACAAATACCCCACAGCCATGTGCAGCACACCAGTGCAGGGTGCAAGGGTATACAATGCCTAGCAAATGCTCTCTCAAGAGCGATTGGAACATGGATCTCTCTTCCAAGAGCAATGCCAGTTGGGGCAAGTGTTTTCTGCAAAATATGTACTTCCCTCTGCCACATAAGGGGGAGCAGTTGGGGGTTGTTAAAAACATGGATCAGCTGCATGTCTTCACCACTACTACCCTCCCCCTCCCCCAAAAACACAAGAGTAAATGCAGCCTATGTTATGTATTTGATGCTTTCTATATTAGATCCTTCCATTGCTGTGCTCCTAATGAAGTGGACTAGGAGTCTGAGAAACGCGTAGATATAGAATTATTTCATCTTGATCACCTTGTTTTATTGAGTGTGACATACATACAATTATTATTGTAGTAACTATATTCACCTTCCTGAAATATATAATGGACCAATCTAGAAACCCCTTTAGATTAGTAGCTCCATGAGCAGGGTCCTCCTATTCTTTCTGTGTTGAATTGTATTGGCTAGGATGGTGCTCATTCCAGCTCCAAACATCAATGTGTGGGGAAGATGATGTCCTATAAACCGCACAACCTTGAAAATCCTGTGTGAGAGAGTGCAACTGACTCAGTCTGGGCTCCATCCAGGCCATGCCCCCAATACATTTCACAAATGAAATGCATTGGTGCGTGACCTGGATGATAATAACTGATGTTTTCCTGAAGATCACATATTATTATTATACAGGATTTATATAGTGCTAGTGTGCATAGCAGATGTCCTATAAGCCGCTCATCATTGCAATCCCTGTGTGGGAGAGTGTAACAGCCTCAGCCTGGGCTCCATCCAGGTCACACACCAGAGTTCTTCAGGATAATATCGGTAACTAACTGGCTGGGAGAGGGTTGAAGGGAGTAGTTGTGTACATATGCATGTACTTATATTCTTGTAAGCATCAGTAACAGAATGAATTTAAAAGGATTTTGTGTAACAAATTTTGGATATCATTTTAACAGTTTACATTAGGTGTGATGTAGATCAGAACCCAAAAAAAAATCTCATAGTAGTTGAAATATCTTATTGTAAACTTGTATTGCATGAGGATATCTATACCAAGAGTTATTGACGTAGCACGCTCTAGTGCTAGATAGGTTTGTTGTTTTTAGCTAGAGGCTGGGAACAGCCTGGGATGAGTCAGACTGGGAGTGAGGTAGAGTGAGTTCACCTCTGAACAGTCTGGGAGACTCTACAAGTCAGGGCTTCTGAAGCCCTCCCACCCTTTCAGAAACCCTGAAAATGTTCAGAGAGAGGGGTGGAGGGGGAGAAGGCCCAGATCTGCATGTTTGATGGAACATTACCAATCCCCAGGCAGGAGGCTGGGCATGGTGACCAAGGACAACCCTTAAATATGGCAGAGCCTGAACAGCAGGGGAGTCCAGTGGAAGGTGGATTGAGAGAAAGCTGAACTGTGGAGCCTGGGAGGGGGATCCGGGGAGGGGAACCTACCTACAGGCAGGATACTCGAAAAGGAGGACCTCCACTAGGCCAAGTCTCTTAGGGAGGACATCCTGTGCAGCAGGGAAGGAGCCAGCCCAGCGAAAGGTCTGAAAGCAGCTACTTAGTACTCCTACACCTCCTAGGCCAAACAGTGGGAGAGGGCGGTCAGGTGCAAGACCCAACTAGTTCGGGACTGCTTAATTGCTAGCTCTTGGATTTCCTTGCCCATGGATACCTCCTGTGTTCTCCATGCAGAAGGGGAACTGCTCGTCACAGAACCCAGAAGCCAGTGGAGAATATTGTAGTAGCGATTCCTATTACAGTGATTTTCAGCTTCTAGAGGGATCCCACAGGTATCTTATATACATAAAAACAAAATACAACCTCCTGCACTCAAGTGTACTACTCTCACTATTCAGGGTCCACTTCCTCTTTCAATTGCTCATTATGCCTTGCTGAACTCCTCAGACTGGGTTAGTCCAAACACACTGTATGTAGGTAACAAAACTCTCGAAACAGATATACAAGCCTTAACATGTGCTGGACACTGATAGAAGTCACACGACTGCTCTAACTGTTAAGAAACTGCTGATAAGAAAAGGTATTTAGCAGTTTATATTTACTAAAATAATTGCATTTCTATGTTCTGTGTACTATGGGAGACCAGATATAGTGAATGCAGGGTCCAGGGAGACCAGATATAGTGAATGCAGGGTCTGAGAAGATCAGATATAGTGAATGCAGGTTCTGTGGAGACCAGATATAGTGAATGCAGGGTCTGGGGAGACTGGATATAGTGAATGCAGGGTCTGGGGAGACCGAATATAGTGAATGCAGGGTCTGGGGAGACCAAATATAGTGAATGCAGGGTCTGGGGAGACCAAATATAGTGAATGCAGGGTCTGGGGAGACCAAATATAGTGAATGCAGGGTCCGGGGAGACCAAATATAGTGAATGCAGGGTCCGGGGAGACCAGTTATAGTGAATTCAGGGTCTGGGCAGACCAGATATAGTGAATGCAGGGTCCGGGGAAACCAAATATAGTGAATGCAGGGTCCGGGGAGACCAGATATAGTGAATGCAGGGTCCGGGGAGACCAGATATAGTGAATGCAGGGTCCAGGGAGACCAGATATAGTGAATGCAGGGTCTGGAGAGACCAAATATAGTGAATGCAGGGTCTGTGGAGACCAGATATAGTGAATGCAGGGTCCGGGGAGACCAAATATAGTGAATGCAGGGTCCAGGGAGACCAGATATAGTGAATGCAGGGTCTGGAGAGACCAAATATAGTGAATGCAGGGTCTGTGGAGACCAGATATAGTGAATGCAGGGTCCGGGGAGACCAAATATAGTGAATGCAGGGTCCTGGGTTTAGTAACACTTTAAGTCTGAGTTTTGCTTTATAAGGGATTGCAAGAGTCTGATATCAAGAATGATTCAGGTTAATTAACTGTATTTAAAAACACAATCAAGGTTTTAATTAAAACATAATTGCATTAATTTATTTATTTTAATATACTGTATGCCTGAAGTTAAAGAGGAACTTTTCTCTCTCAATCAACACTATTTTTAATCCTTATGCCTCCAGAATTAGTAAATAAATCGGATGGTATATTATATTTACTTTTTTTAACCATTTTTAACAGTTTTTTTTTTAGTTACTTCCTAGTCTCCATGCTTAGGCAAATTATGTTATAAATCCCAGGAGTCTTCAGGAGGGGCTTTCTCAACTAAGCACACCCCCCTGCCATACAGCCTGAGCTAAGAGCAGATGGATTCCAGCAAGTACCGTATTTTACGGCGTATAAGACGACTGGGCGTATAAGACGACCCCCTACTTTTCCTGTTAAAATATAGGGTTTGAGCTATACTCGCCGTATAAGACTACCCCTCTTCCAACGCACACCAAATAAAAATGAAAAAACATCAGATTTGATTTCAATATGGTATGGTATTTCAGTATGGTATTCCAATGATGGGGTGCTATTCCTCCCACTGACACCAATGATGAGGCACTACTCCTCCCACTGACACCAATGATGGGGCACTATTTCATCCACTGACACCAATGATGGGGCACTATTCCTCCCACTGATACCAAAGATGGGACACTATTCCTCCCACTGACACCAATGATGGTGCCCCATCATTAGTGTCAGTGTGTGAGGAATAGCGCCCCATCATTAGTCAGTGGGAGGAATAGTGCCCCATCATTGGTGTCAGTGGGAAGAATTGTGCCCCATCATTGGTGTCAGTGGGAGGAATAGTGTCCCATCATTAGTGTCAGTGGGAGGAATAGTGCTCCATCATTGGTGTCAGTGGGAGGAATAGCACCCCATCATTGGTGTCAGTGGGAGGAATAGCGCCCCATCATTGGTATCAGTGGCAGGAATTGCGCCCCATCGTTGGTGTCAGTGGGGAGAATAGCGCCCCATTGTTGGTGTCAGTGGGGAGAATAGCGCCCCATTGTTGGTGTCAGTGGGGAGAATAGTGCCCCATTGTTGGTGTCAGTGGGGAGAATAGCACCCCATCGTTGGTGTCAGTGGGGGAGGAATAGCGCCCCATCGTTGGTATCAGTGGGGAGAATAGTGCCCCATCGTTGGTATCAGTGGGAGGAATAGTGCCCCAACGTTGGTGTCAGTGGGGGAGGAATAGTGCCCCATCATTGGTATCAGTGGGGAGAATAGTGCCCCATCATTGGTGTCAGTGGGGAGGAGGAATAGTGTCCCATCATTGGTATCAGTGGGGAGGAGGAATAGTGCCCCATCATTGGTATCAGTGGGGAGAACAGTGCCTCATCGTTGGTGTCAGTGGGGGAGGAACAGTGCCTCATCATTGGTGTCAGTGGGGGAGGAACAGTGCCTCATCATTGGTGTCAGTGGGAGAGGAACAGTGCCTCATTGTTGGTGTCAGTGGGGGAGGAACAGTGCCTCATTGTTGGTGTCAGTGTGGAGGAGGAATAGTGCCCCATCGTTAGTGTCAGTGGGGGAGAGGAGCAGCTGCTCCTTCTTCCAGTGCGGCCGCTCGATTTTCACGGGGCCGCTCGGCTCCGCCTCCTCGCCGGTGATTGGTCGCCTGTGTGCCTTTCCAGTGCTGGCGCCCAATCACCGGTGAGGAGGCAGGGCCGAGCAGCCGCGTGACCAACGAGCGGCCGAACTGAAAGAAGAAGCAGCCGCGCTTCCTGGACCCGGATCGTCGTGGGACCGGAGCCAGGTAAGGTACAGCAGCCCCTCTATCCACCCCTGTACTTAGTGTCCGCTGGAGGAGGAGGGGGGGGGGCGGCGCCGCCCCTCGAAAAAGTGCCGCCCTGACACCGGCTCGCACCGGTGTATAAGACGACCCCCGACTTTTCAGAAGATTTTCAGGGGTTGAAAAGTCGTCTTATACGCCGGAAAATACGGTAAATGCTACATGAATCATCTGCCCTTACTCAAGATGGCCACGGCCTGAATTGCTGAGGAGGGGGGTCACAGTGATGTGGCATGGAGAAATGGAAGGATGGATGGGGGAGTTTTCTTTGAATATTAAAAATGAATTAAACAGCATTTTTGGTTTGTGGTGCTCAGATGCCATGACGTTCCACTTTAAATTTTAAGTAGACAATGATACTTTCCAGGAAAAGTGTAAAATATATAGACACAGCGCCAATAAATTATATATAAAGCTGCAAACCTAACCAAAGAAAAGGTAAGTGACAAAAAATATATAAAGGAATGCGCTAAATACCAAATCACATGAAAATGCAGATAAATAAATAAATAAAATAAAAAATATATTTATAAATGTCCGTAATTCATATATAAGTGCAAACACCAAAATAAGTAATAAATGGGGCGGGGCTTAGTGGATGGGACGTCAGGACGCTCCTCGAGACTGTCGGCTGTGATCGCGGTGAGCGAGGCTCGTCCCTGCTTTAGCTTGAGACTGATATTGCTGGTGTCGGTTGGACACCTTTCTTGTGAGTGCATATTTAAGGCTACAATAAAAATTATTCTTGTTTTAACATACTGCGCCATGATACTCTTCTTTGATTCCCCGAGCATTTCCAAAGTTATGAAGGCATGATGACCACTTGCAGTTAAGGCTGTTCCATGTGTGCTGATTTGGCTGATTGCAGTCTATTGCTCCTGGATACTCCAACAGATCATCGCTCCCAGAGCAATTGCTATTTTTGCCGATTTATAATTTGATCAGCAAATAGCTCTGGTGAGTTTACCCATTTCATTCGGTGGTGAATTTTGCACCGTGTTTTTTCTTGTTTAAGAGATTTTTTAATCCCTTATTTTGGTGTTTGGATTTATATATGAATTCTGGACATTTATAAATATATTTTTTATTTTATTTATGTATTTATCTGCATTTTCATGTGATTTGGTATTTAGCGCATTCCTTTATATATTTTTTTCCAGGAAAATGTCTTAAATTTTTACCTGGCTATTGTACATGAGTAAAATATAATCCCATTTTATTTGAATTATTTTAATTGAGTATTGTCATTCATAAATTGTTTCATAAAATTATACACATCTATATTTCAGAATGAAGTCAGTTTCTCATTGTTCTGATATTGTTAACAATTGCTGACGCCATTTCCAATGTCCCCTTTTTTTAATGAAACCCATGATTAATAATTAGGCCTCACACCGGCAGCTACTTAAAACTCCTTTTATCTTAATAAGACTCCCTATTTTCTTACAATTCAAATATCTAATTGACTATCATGGTGAAGGCACAGTTGCTGATAATTGCTATAATATATCTCTCCCAGGTAGGAAAGTACTTAGCATCAATTCACCAATTGAACAAATAATTAATTAATCTGAAATTGGCCCATATCCTAGTTACCGTGTCACATACAAGTGGCAAATATAATTACTTTGTGATATTTTCTGTTGAGATGGTGATGTCATTATCTATAATGAGCTAATCAAGTCTCAACTGCGGTTTCATTTGTAATATGACCCTATAGAATTGTTTCATTAAAAGCATGACTTGCTTCCTGCATATCAATTACAATTGCTATCTCAGGATAAACCTAAATAGAGCTGTTCGGTTCTGAAAATGGTTTCCTGGCAAGATAAGCGTTCAGCTGCTTGTTCGTTACTGCCGCTCATCACTCTCTTTCAAGGTCATGGAAATGCCCACATGCCAATGGAAGGGGAGATTCCCAACTGCCGACTGAAGTGTTCTAGATAATGGAAGGAAAGGATTCTTTACACTCCTGCATGTGGCATCGTTCCTAGTCTTCCATTGTATGTGTGATAGCCCTTGACTAATAGAGGTGAGGCTTTGCTCTGATGTATATACAGTTAAGTGTATCTTTTTTCAAAGGGATGATCCATAATGAAGGTTAATGTATTGTGATATAGGGGATTCTTAGCTCAACGGTAGATGTGTTTTTTTAGTCAGTTTACGCCAGACTGGAACTAAACTAAGGGCTTGTTAGCCCACTTTTATTAAAGAGTAACTGAAAAGTCCTTTAAAAACACAAGGTTTCCCACACAGGGGGTTTCAACTTTACTCAAAATAATACTCAGCATAGGTGACAGCTCCTTGCTGTTCAGGCCCCACATTTTGACAGAGTTTTTCCTGTATCTCAGCTTGCTTCCTCCAGAGACTCATGGATTCCCTCCAGCCCCTTGGACTCACTGGCCTCTGCAGCTTCCTCAGCCTCCCAGATCCTCTCTTGGTCTCCCAGACTCTCATAGCTGGCCAGACTTTCCCAGTCCTTGGGCCCAGAATCCCCCTCACAAGGGTTGTAGTCTCCACCAGGAGCTTCCAGCTCTCTGACTGACAGGGCTCTGTCTTCAGGCTTGTAGCAATAGCAACTGCTATTCCATCTACACCACTTTTGAGCTATGCTCCGATCTTCCTTATAATGAGTGTGTGCACCTGGACACACACACACACACACACCCTGCAGAACTTCTGAAAAACCTGGACACAAGACTGAAGACTCTGTCCCATCCAATACTCTTTAGAGCCTTCAAGCTTACAGCCCCGGTCCAGACTTACCAAATCCAGGGAAAGCTTAAAACATAGCTTTCTTTGCTTGCAAAACATTTGCTGGAGCCTCTCAAACTGACTGT